TATATATATATATATATATATATATATATATATGTACATGTGTCTGTAAGGCCATATAGAAATCAACTTTAAATCAAAGTTGGTAAAATAAGTTTTGGTTTGTTTTTCCTTTCAAGGATTCGTCTGTATTTGCCTGTGTTCTTTAACTCTTAAAAACATAAGCAAAACAATAAAATCCATGCGAAACAATGTGTGTTTGAACACAGGTTTGATCCACAACTGAAAATTTGTATCTCACAATCCAAAAAGACCCATGAAAGGCTAGACACGAGACCTGGGACATACTGTACCTGTACATCAATCCTGCATCTATACTATAAATTAGAGAGGTTTGTTTGAGAGGTTCAATGAACAAAATAGTGGAAGATTTTATCACTGCAAGGTTATGCAATATGTCAAAGAGCAAATCAGACTGACATAAAAAAGAAATCCCTATAAAGATGGACTGGTAATGAACTAAAAAAAAAGAAAGAATAAAAGTCTGAATTAAAGAATAACTACAAAACCATCTGAATTTCTGAAGAACAAAAAACTAAATCAATTGGGGACAATGCCAGACAGGGAGTCCTTTATGGTGAAGCTTTAGAGAACATGCAGCATTGCTGTTGCATCTCAGCTCTTTGTGTCTCTTAACAGGACGAGGTGAACAGCCGAGTTTCACCAGATGGAAAATGTAAGGTGAGTGCTGCTTGGTTGATGTTATTCTGAACTGATAGAAAAAAACAACTCTTGAGTCTCTGAGCAACTACTGTAATTAAAACATTTACTAAATGTAGATTGTCAAGATCTCCACCTAAGTGGTATTTATTTTCTGCCAGCTGCAGTTTTAGGCTTCTAGAAATCAGAATAGCAGTACATTTTAGATAAACCCTAGAGTATTATCTCTTCTTTATTTTTCCTTAGATAACAGAGAGGACAGAGTCTCTCAGGAGAAGGTAAGTTAAACTTTGAAAATACTGAATAATAGACAAAAAAGTCAAGCATAGATTAATTTTAGCTGTCTTTTCAAGTGCTGTTAGAATTACCAGGGCAAGGGAAGGAAAGTCTATATAGCACAATTTACTACAAAGACTATTCTAAGTACTATACTGTATATGAATTACCAATTCATTTCTTTAAAGAGCAAATGTTTCAAATGGTTCAACTGGTTTTGTGGTAGTTTACAGATGATTACCAATCCTTACATGTGTTGTTTGTTTGTTGTTGTTTATTTATTAATTTTTTTAACATTCTTCCCGTAAAGCACCAGCACCATAAAGAAGACATTGCCACCTATATCTGTTTCTAAAATCGATAAAAGACTGGAAGAATACACACATGCTCTCGAGGTAAAATATAATTTTTGGGATCAACACATGCGTTTTTGATTCAAATGAACTAATTTTAAATAAATATGAATTTAGAAACCATACAACTACAAGCCTGAAATTTATTGTTATCCATATAGTGATAGGAAACTTAAGAACTTATTAACACCTTGTAGCACCAACTCTTAGGAAGGGCTTTTATCTATATTTTCACATTGTTGTTGAAGGATGTTTGGCCTCCATAATCTTGGTTTGGTTAATATGTGTCTACCTATATCTCCTTTGGTCTAATCGCTTGATTCTAATCAGCTCTAGATATAGACTTTGAACTGGCCTTCTCAACACCTACAAAAATTTGCCTCAAATTCCAGTTTGGGATTCAGATGAGTTTGTGGTTAACCCATTGAATGGTATCACCTATGGTTGTAAGACACCAAGATCATAATCTCATCACCAAGATGCTCAGTTTCTAATTTGACCATATCTATGTGTTGTTCAACAAGTAAACCCTCCATTCTTTGTCTTCTGCATACCAACCAACAGCTGACCAATGTAAATTGTTCCAGGTGATAATGCTCCTCTAATTATATTGAGTGAGCCCCAACAACATGGTACATCTTGTGGCTTTATAAATAAGGGGAAACAACACAGTCAGACTTTTAACCTGTAAGATTGTCTCTTGACTGACCGCTTTCTTCACCACAACAGACTGGAGTAGAGTCTGAATAACCTTAAAAAAATGTCCTAATCCTTTAATAAATCTCAGTCTGATCTTCCAAAACTACAACCTACCAAGTTTGAACAGAAAACCAAAAATGACTCAAAAACAAGATGACCCCTGACCTTAAGGTAACAGTATACCACTCATGGCTGCAAACCATGGCCTGGGAGTACTAAGCATTGCCTCATCCTGGTGGTTTTCGACATAACTGAGTCAATCTGAAGCTCATGTTCTGAAAATGTTAACAGACCACAAACTTCAGCAAAAAGCAAGAATGATATTGTAAAGCTCTACACCAAATGGTCTCCTTTTCCAGCTACCTCTTTAAATCCTGTCAATAAAACACCACAGAGAGATTCTGTGGAACCATCCTCGGGAAGGTTTAGAGGTACTATTTCCCGATTTAAAAGATTTGACCAGCTTTGTACTTCGCTACTCCACAGTTGGTACATCAGTTTTCTGCAGAACATTGGAGATTGAAAATTACTCACAAAGGCCCAATAATCTTTTGCTTCTGAAAATGAAGATTGGCCACTTCTAACACCCTGCTAAAGGGAGCTTTAGGTGTTTACAAAACACCTTCCACAATGGCTTTCTAAGTAAGTGGAATCAAAAACAATAATATAAAAGAAAAGGTAATCAGGCCCCCATACACATCATTTCCAGTATTTTTGTAGAGCTTTACAAATATAAAGTTGTCAGAGTCTCAATGTCTTTTCTGAAATCACTATAGATCGCCTGAGAACATTCCACATTGCATGGATATCTCTACATCTTCAATGTCTTCTTTCATTTTTGAAGGTCGCTTCAAAGGAAGGAAGATCAAGTTGCCAGGTTCTAGCAGACCTTACAAGCCCCTCTGAACCAGTAGCATCAAAGAAGAACCTGTTTGAAGCTGGGGAAGCCTGGAACCAAAACGTCATCTCAGTCACACCGTGCAAGGTCAGGAGGAAAACAATGTGATGCTGAACATTTATTAAATAGTTTTAATCCGAAGCTGCTTAAAATCGTTTTTACATATGTCTGTAAAATAAAGAAAGACATGGTGGACAAGTTTTCTAGAGATTTACTGTTTGCAGCTTAATCTTATTACATGAAGTTGATTATGCAGAAAACTAACTCCTCATTTATATTCTAGGATGCAGATGGTTTAAAGGTTGGTGTGGCCGATCTTATCAACCAGTGGGTAAAAGGAGGCGAAGATGGTAGCAGGAGCAGCTCACCGTCAAAGCCAGCAGTAAGCTAGAACCTTCATTTATTTTAACCATAAAGTCAGTTTTTTTTCGCCATAATTTTTCTCACAATGAATAAAAAACAGAAGTTAATATTTTAAGGCCAGAAAGAAAAGGGAAGGAGTTTCCCTCTGTATTCTCAATAGGAAAGTTGGGGCCTGATGATGGATTGATATTGGAAAGAAAACCCTTTTCAATGAAAAAATACTTTTTCATTAGTTGCTGCGTTCGTTTTCAAAAAAAGGGAACTAAGAAGCATCACACTTTTTATTCCACAATTTAACAGAAGGTAGGATATAAATCCTCAAGTAAGGAAATGTACTGTAGCTACACAAACATTTGAATGAAAAACTTTGAACTGAAATATTTAGAGTAAGAGTGTCATTTAACAAATAGTCCTACAGCAAAAGATACACGACGGGAAGTGGGCAAAAATCAATACTTAGAAAAGAAAATCTAGATTTTTGAGGTCATCATTCAGAAAGCTGTACATAAAATCTAACATAAATCAAAAGGTTTTAATGCAAGTTTGCAAAGATATGAAAATACCAATGCTGTCTGAAACATCCTTTTCCCAATAAACTTTGAATGGTTTTTCTGAGCTACGGAGAAATGAGGAAGCCTGGGTTTTGCTCTAATGTCAGCAAAACCTTATGAAAGTCAATGGAATTTTTTTTCAAATTATTAAATGCAGTGTATTTTTCGAAATGTCATCTGTTATGGCAATCTGGTCTTGATCAAACTACACATTATGATCTGTTCTTGTAGGGTTTTTCTTGAATGTTGGGGGATAAGAGCTCTTTCTCTCTTACCCTGCTGCTTTCATGTTTAAAAATGATGACAGCTGGATGATGTAACGTCGAGGTGAAGCCATTTCCTGAAACGTTGCTCATCATAGTCTAAACATTAGAGGAATTTCAAATAATTAAATTCCCTTTCAAGTGGATAGGTGCTCATAATCATTGGAAAAAACAGCACAGTTTCCAACTTGCTACAAGCATAAGCATAACATGTTTATGGGCATTTCCCTGCTTGAGCTCAAGTTTTCCAAGTTTATAGTTTCAATATGAGGAATTCATTTTAATGTGCCCTTTGTCAACCATAAACACACTGACAACACTCTGCTTCAGATGTTCAGCATCTGCAGTAACTTGAGGCACAGGAGGTTGTTTATCTTACTCAAAGTACCTAGACTGGAAGCATGTAGCCTCTTTTGCCAAAAAAATAAAAAAAATTGAAACAGCTCCATCTTTAAACCCTCATGTCATATTGATTTATCTGGAGGTTGCTCTAAGCCCTCATTGCTGTGTTACTCACTGCCTCGTTCCTCCACATCCGGCGTAAATCAGTCCCAGAACAGAGCTGTTGGAGGAAGCTTATCTTCCAATGGCTGAAAGTTCACATTCAGTTGAGCAGTTTAGTTCACATTCAGTTCATTTAGACACTGAGGACCAAACCTCAGCCTTTTATTCTCCTTTATTTTTAGGAAATAAGACCTGGTGGGGTTTTAAACAAGAAGAATTTATGGGAAGGCCTCAGTGACGCTTTAACTTCAACAAAAGATGGAAAGGTACAATCAAATCTCCAATACTTAATTTCTATATAAACAAGATTAATTTACTTTTCTGTTACCAAATCTACAGCCACAGTGTTATGAAAAAAGGTTTAGTTTGATATATCTGTTCATTATATCATTCATATTCCATTTTCTACTGTTTGATATGAATGACTGATATGAGTGATGATTTATAATTGTTTTTTTTTCCTAAAGTTTAACTCTGTTTTTACGATAATTCCAGTCCAAGACATTTAATCTGGAAATGTTATGATAAGTACAGAACATACTTCATTTGAAGAATCTGTGTAAGCCAAAACTTTTGGCTGTTAACTTTAAATTCAGTCATATACACAGACAATTTAGCTATTTTTTCAGCTGAACTAAACATACAAAGCACATGTTTTTATCTCCTTGTAAGGCACTGTTTTACATTTCTTCAGTAAAGCATTGTTAAGAGTATAGTGTTATTTGAAACATTTGCAGCTTACACAACTTAAATTTATTTGATTTAGATTTATTCGCACATACAAAATATATTAACATAACAATTTACAGCAGCACAAAAAGACAAGTCAGTGCATCAATATATTAAATATACACATAAAGTACTATTTGTAATTAACATAACAAACCCTTGGTTCCAAAATGCACGTAAGTAATCTGGTTTGTATTCTTTTGTATGTCATTTATTTAAACCTTTAGAGGAAATATTTAACATACAGTATAGATGTGTATGAAAATTTAGCTTGTCACTTTTTTTTTTTCTCCTAATTTAGGAAAACTCCACCAAAAGATATAAATATGTGGTGACGGGTCACGGCAAATATGCAAAAGTTCCAGGTCACGGCTGCAATGAAGATCTAAACTGCCAGGCAGGTAAGACAGGTTCTTAAATAGCAACCATGTTGGATAGGAAGTCATATATTGACTTTAAATATTTACTGGTCAAAAGTTTATCTGTATTTTATCCTTTTATGATTCTTCAAAATCTGTTCATACTGATTTTGAAAATTTTTAGCAAGTGTAGCTAACTCCACAGCAACAAAATAGTTGGTCTGTGTGTAAATCTAAAAATAAACTCAGTGACATTATCCTGGGATGAAACAAATAGAAATATGATGTTCACAGAACTAAAGGAAAATCACTCAATTTACTGTACTTCTTTTTTTATTTTAGATATAACATTTTAAAAAAGACAAACAGACAAATAGGTTTGCACTTTGTAATTTAAAAAATAGACAGTGAACAAGGTTACATTAACAATGATTTAATAAACAGGGTTTTGCTAATTTTATAGATTTCTCTTATCCATCATCAAGGAAACTGAAAATTGATCTTCTTCTTAAATGAAAAACCCAATTTTTAGGAAAAAAAGGTCCATACACTAAAAAATAACTTGCTTCAACATTCTATAACAGGGTATCATTCCCTGATCCTTTACACTTCTATTTACACCTCTTCCTCCACCCCTTATTAAATCTCCTTTAGCTTTCTTAGAGCAGCGCTCGTCTCTTTCGTCTTTCTTCTTTCTTCTTCTTTACATGTGTTTATTTTTTTTGTTTACCATTTAAATGATATTGATAATATTAGTCTTGGGGTAAAAGCATATTACTAAACTAAATTTCTAGCCAAATACAACCTGTGCTTACAAGTGATGGTAAAGGAAACCAGTGCTAACATAAAAAAGCATATTAGCCTTTAATTAACTTTGTAGCCATAATCTAATGATGTGTTACTGTAGCAGACTGTAGGTCAGTATATACCAAATAAGTACTAAAATAAATTACACTGAATAGAAATAAAATAAAAATATAGTACTCCTCTTCACTCAGCTTCAAGATGGAGCTATGGTCTTCCAACAGCTTTTGGAAGTCTGTTAAACATATTTGATTTTATTCTCAAAATGTAATCTCTAGACTTAAAAGACTATTCCTTTAAATTTAGGACTTTTTGATTAAGTTGTTAGACACTTAGGGTGGCTTTTTGCCTATTTCATGCCCTCATTTTGAGAAGCACCACCATTTCATTTGCTTGAACATTTAGAAACCTGTGATAATTGTTACTAGTAAATTACATTTCTTCCATGTTTTCGTCTTTCTCAAACCCTTTTGTCCTGTTAATTCAGGAAGGTAAATGCCTTTTTTTTATCATAGACAACAATATCTGCCTGTCTACAAAAAACATAAAGCTTTTTTATTTTGGACAAAAGGAAAATTGGAACAGTACATTTTGTCTTCAGCACATGTGTTCCAAATCAAATCAATGGCTTCATTAACAGACAACAGAACTTAGCAATCAACTGCAGGGTAACTTTCCTTATATTCTTTTTTTTTTTTTTTTTTTTTACCAAATTTTATGATTATTTTGTATTAAAACTTAAAAATGTTTTGTAGTTCAGCTAACCAATAACTTCATGTTTAGTTAAGTTCAGCAAAAATGAACTTTAAGGTTTCTGTTTACAACTATTTCATAAGTAGTTTAACATACAGATTCACTTTTCTTTATGACTTTCTAGACTTTCTCAGAATTAATGAAAGCAACAGAAATGAAACAAGTGTTTGAAAAGTGATTATCAAACAGTTTTAAATATTATCATTATTTTTAATATTCATATTAAAAATATTTTCCTTTTTATAGTTGTTTTTTTATTTCACTGTACTTACTAAGTACAACAGTTTTGATTTAGTGAAATTATCTTTCAATATTGTGCTTCAAAAGTCCAATTATATAAGCTGACCTTTTCCAGATAGTCCTTCCTATATGACTTTATCTAAAATTATTCAGGATTTTAGCTTGTGGTTAACCACCAATCACATCATCCATGAGCCGCATCAGTCACATCTTCATTTTTAGTGGGACCAAATCCTTTGGCTGTTCGATTGAAATCCTTGCGTTCCTCTTCCTGAGATTTTCGCTTTATCAGCCCTATTTCAAAAGCTGCTGCTATTTTAGTCAGTGGCTTTTCTGCGGCTTCCTTTAGCTTCCTGGCATTAAAGCGAGGGCTGTACAGTAACACTGGAAGCCGGTTGACAAATGATGGAGGCTCTGCCTGATGATCTTTGAGAGATGTTTTCTTGTCCGTGTCTTTTTTGTTGGAATTGATCTGGTGCATGATTTTTTCTTTGGTAGAGAACATTTGAAAGAGGAGTGCATCCCACATCTTTAGTGCCTTGGGCCCTTCTTTGTTCTGAACAACATCTTGGTTCATATCCTGATCAGCAGAAGGCATATTGACCTTATCAGTTATTTCTTCATTCATACTAGAAGTGACCTGATGTTTGACCTCTGGATCAGGAAATTTGGGTTCCTCAGGCTCGACGACCATGTGCTTTTTCAGCCGTGTCCATCCACTAAGCTTGCCCTTAAGACCTTTTGATTTCTGGGCTGGTTTTTGTTCAGTGGTTGAGATTGATGTTCCTTCAGGTTCCAACTGTTTTTTAGTAACTGAAGATGCAGTTGATATCATTGACTTCATGGAGGATTCGACTGCTGGAGTTTCCTTTGGTGTGCTTATTGCTTTCAGAATATCCTTGCCTTTGAATCCAGTTTTTCGCTGAGATGACGGTGATGTTCCTCTGTTTGGAGATGGAGCTTTTACTGAGACTGAGGCCTGAGGCAGAGAGGCAGGAGTGGCAGAATCAATCAAAGCATCTTTTACTGTGGAGGATTTCATGACAGTGTCTGTTATTGGCTTTTCAAGGGAACCATTGTTTAAAGTTTCCCCATTAGTCAAAAATGAGCTAGCCTGGATTGGATTAGATGGAGAATCTGAAGACTCTGGTTTTATTTTTGGAGATTTGATTTCCGCAACAACAGATGTAATTGTTGATTCTACTTGCTGAACAAAAGATTTCGCTTTTACAGTAGGTGCACTATTCAAAACTAAGTCAGTATATTGGCTGGCCATGCTACTTTTGGTAACTGGTGAGGATAAATTTTCCTCTTTATATATGTTGGACAATTTGTTTGTTTTTGAGGTTTCCACTGGGGAATGTAATTTTATCTCAGAAACTGAAGAGCCATCAGCTGAAGATATTTTAGTTTCTAGTTTTAAGATATTTTCTTCAAATAACTTCTCATCCTGCTGAGCTGCCTTGTTTGGAGTACTATTTTGGAAAGGTGTATCTAGTGAGTTCCTAGGTTGTGTTGTATTAACAAGTTGTGGGTTTGTTTCCATAGAATTGGCCAAAGATCCAGGGCTCTGATTGGACTGGGTTAAAGCAGGACTATCTATTTGTTTTGGTGTAAAACACATTCTTGGTTTAAGTAATGGGGAGGCTTTCATTGCTGCCCATGGTTTATTTGTAATTGGTGGACTAATTGGATCTTTGAAATCGCTTTGAGCTTCTTCTAGAGGCTGGATAATTTTAGTAGAGTGATCATTTATGGCAGCATGTGGGACTGACTGAATATTCACATTAAGGGCATTGGTTTGTGATGTTGTTAGAGGTTCATTGGCAATGCAACTCTGGTGAGATGTGTTTCCAATCAAAGCTATTTGACTGGTATTTATTGGTTGTCTGTTTCCATCTTCAAAACTTGCACCAAATGCTTTTATATCAGTCTGACCAGATGCAACTAATGTTTGACCTTTCATTTTTGACATTATATGATTTCTCTCATTTAATGATGGACTGTCTAGATCAGTGCTATCCATGATTTTCCCAAAACCAGAGAAGTCATCTTTTGCTGTAGCATTATAAATTTGTTGCATAGACAAGTCTACTGATCTATTCCCATGCTGAAGGTCTGGAGTGAGTTTACTACCAAAAGTCCAAATATCGGATACTTCATTCAACGGAAGCTTTTCTGCAGATTGACTTTCTGGTCTATCCGATTTTATCTTTGGGCTTTTTGGTGGAGCTTGCCTCATTGTTGGGCTAGAAGACATCATACTTTTAGTGGGTGTTAGAATATAAGGTTTAAGTGTCACTGCTGAGCCTGTTAATTTTTCTTGGGCTGTAAAGTGCTGATCCTGTTTGGATGAAGTTGTGTGTGCTAAAAGTTTTGGTTTGTCTGCAGATAGCTTATCAGATAATCTAGTTTCACTTATTGTTATATTGGGATTTTCTCTTTGTTTTGGCTCAGAGCTTTTTGTTGCAGTATTTGCTGTGAAACAAAGTGGATCTACTTGAGTGTTTAGACAATTTCTTATTGGTTGTGTAGGGGCTTCTATCGTTTTGTATGACGTTACACAGATATTTTCTTCTTGCACGGTTTGACTTTGAAATTTCCATCCCATGTTTTGTTGTTTTGTTGCCAATACATTTACAGGCATCATTTTTTGACTTTCTACTTCTTTTATTAGCTCATGTGATTTATTTGTCTTTAATGGAAGATTAATCTTTGTTGCAGTTTCAAGTTGGGCATGGGTTTTTGTTTCTGTGGTAGGTTTACCTGGTGAAACATTTCCAGCAGGTATATTTGATACATTTGTTGGCAGCAAAGCAAAGTTGTTTTGAGCTTGATTTTTTGTAAAAACTTGCATATCTTTGCTGTTTGGATGATTGATTTTTGTGCTTATCTTTGGTGAGCTAACTTTACAGATGTTGTATTGCCCAGAGCAGAGTGACGCTGTGACAGGCTCATGTGGGAACATCAACCCACTGGTAGGGATACATTGCTCTTCTGTCATTTTTTCTGGGAAATTTAGGTTTCTGCTTGTAACATCGCACATTTTTTGTGTATTCAGAGGTACAGAAGACACAATATTGACCATATTTGTTTTATTTGGTAGATTAATACTTTTGCTTTCCTTAATTTGGCATTCAGTCTTATCAGCATGTCTGTCTGGAATACCTTTGTTCGTTTTACTTGGCAGGGGAATTTCTGACTCCTTTTTAGTAGACTCTTTTTCCAGAATGTCTATGCTATTCAAAATTTGTTTTTCTGGGAATGTACCCTTTACCTGGGCTATAGTTACTGGAAAAATGTTTGCTTCACAGTCTGCTGATTTTGTAATAGAGTTGGCAGAATGTTGAATATAGCCACCATGAAGTAATGATTGACTGACCTTAACATTATCTTTGTCCAGTAATCCAGAGTTTTCACCTATTTTTTTAATGTTGGACAGTGCATTGCCCTTTTTATCAGATACAACATTAGTTTGATCCAGATTTGATTTTAGGGTAATATTTACACCTTTTGGTTTAGGTTGGGATTCTGTATTTAAATCTCTTACGAAAGGTGAGGAGTAAATACTTGAGCCCATGCTATCAGTAGGATTTAAAGCTGGTTCTTGCCCTGCCTCTACTGAAAACTGCACTAGACCTTTTGTGTGTACCTCACCTGCTTTAGGTACTGGTATTGGAGCCTCTGAGTATGAGGCTTTTAATGCGGATGCATCACTTGTAGATTGTAGTATTGTTTTCTCTGTCAATCCAAAGAGAAGGTTGGGTTTTATTGTTTCCACTGCAGATGTTTTTGATGATTCTATTCCGACATTCTGAGTTCCATTCAGACCTTCTCCTGTGATATCATCATTACAGTCTGTGGAAACCCATTCATCTGGAATCTCTGATTGAAATGATTGTTCTCTATGACCCAGAGAATTTAGTTCCTCGAGTCCATTGAAATGTATTTCTTGTTTTGAGACATCTGAGTCTTCTAAAGGTTTACCCAAATGTGGTATGTTGGAGCTTTCATCAATGAGGGGAAGTAAATCACTAGGATGTGACACATTTGTCCTTATTCCACCATATGCAACATACTCAACTGGAGTTAGTCCGTAATATGTCGAACGTGATTTGGGTTTTGAGCCTGCTAATGACATTTGTGTCTCCAAAAGTGATGTCAAAGACTTGCGTGCCTCCACTACGGGAGGCCGATATGTAGATAAAACCAAGCCTGGACTTTGTGATCCTTGCATCGGGGCAGGGCTAGAATTTTTTGGCATAGAAAAAAATGATGGCACCTGGGGCAGCAATAAAGCTTTGTTTTCTAAAACCTGGTGTGTTTTGAGGTTGACAAAGGGTGCTATTGTAGCGGTACTTATATTATCTCTGTGGTATGGCTCACAACTGACAAAACCTAGATTCATTGTACTTTTCTGTGTATTGGGAATCTCTATCTCCCTATGTATGTTTTGTTGTTTGATGAGGGTTGTGGTATTGTCATTAGTTTGCTTGTGTTCTTCTGTCAGTGTTGGAGGTTTACCTAAATGCTGGTAAGAAACTGTTGAATTGTCTTTAAGCCCTTCTTTCTGAATAACCGGTGCTTGCAAATCTTGGAAGGAACTGAAAGCAGGGTTCACAGTGGATATGAGTGGGTTGGGCTTTAATAGTTCAAAAATAGGACTTGATATTGGAGCTGGTGTGTAAGCTGAAGGAGGAGGTCTCACACTCTGGATCCAAGGTGATGACAGTTCCTGATCCGCATTTACTGATGGCACAGGGGCTTTTTGACTAAACCCTGTAGATGTTGGGGCTCCTTGATTGGTTGGTTTCATAACTGTAAGTTCCTGGATGGAGGAAGGTTTGGAGATCTCATAAACTGTTGCCTTAGATGTATACGTCTTAGCTTGCATGGCTTCAATCATTGGCTCTTTCACTGTATCCACAAGGGATATTTTTGAGGCAGTTACTTCAGAAGATATCTGTCGAAGAGCACCGTTGGCAGCGATGCTGCGTGCATTAGTTCTGGTCGATTCCTGTCTCTGAAAGTCATCCTTTACATTAGTGTTTGTCTCCCTCTGGCTTGGGATAAATGGTTGTGTATGAGTGTTTGAAAGTGATAGGGGCACTGGAACAGGAGATAGAGCTGCAATATGAGAATGTGCTAGGTCTGGGGCGCAGTTTGTGGCATTGGAAAGGGTCAGGCTGTGGGTTGATATTTTTGGGCTGCACTGTGACATAGCAACTGGAGAGACTGTTGTGACTGACCCATGGGAATTTGATGTCACACTGAAAGCAGGAGGAAGACTTGGTGCAGAAATTTGCTCATTTAGTGCTGAATATGTCAAAGGTGGAACTATGAATGTGGAGGCATCATCAAACAGGAAAGAAGAGCATTCATACAAAGGTGCAACTTGAGGTTGAGAGTTTTTCATTCCAAGTGGATTTGACGGAGGGTTTAAGCTCCTAGTTTGTCCTTTGGGACTGCTTTGAGGATGAGAAAATCCAGGGACCGAGTGATCATAGACAGAGCCAAAGGGTAAACCTGAGACACAGGAGTCAGCAATATAGATGGAATCCGGTGTCCTTGGTGGGCTGCACATGTCACTGTGCTCTAGGTCTGTGCTTGCTTCATTGACAGGCGACAAACAGGAACGGAAGGGAATAGGCGTCTGAGAAAGGCTGCCCTTTTTCTTGGCTCTCTTCTTTTTAAGCTTCTGAAGCCTCGCATTATCTTTGCCTGGTTTTGGCAATAAAGGGGGTGGATACTGCTCCAATATGTCAGGCTGCAACCCGTGACTGTAACAAACCTCCATCAGCATTGCAAGCTCCTGCCAGAAAAATTAAAAAACAAGAGATTATTTGATCACTGGAAAGGTGATAAACAATGAAGAAGCAACTGTCAAAGTTACTTTAAATGGTTATTCTACCCAGAAATACAACATAATTGTTTTGACTGTTGTTGAAACAAACTAACCAGTAACTATATTTTTACCATCTTTCTTTCTTCTTTCACAGCTGGACAGTTCAATGAAGAGTTGTGAAGCAGGTGTTGTTGAAAACTGAACTACAAGCCACAATCTCTTGACCATTCTGTCTTTGTTGAGCTATAGCCTGGATAATTAGCTAAATCATTATTATTATGCTTTGTTTCTGACTGATCCACTATCCAGTATCTGTACTTATTGTATCTTTAAATGCAATCAAATAAACCAAATGACAAAAAAAAAGATTCTAGATTCTAGTGTTTCTTTATAAGTTATCTTCTTGACATTTTTATTTTGCTTCCTGAATATACTGCTATAACTGTTAAAAATGGCTTTAAGACAAGTTGGCCATTGAAATGTATGAGCTCTTTTAACACCAGATTAATTTACAGAGCTCAAAGATCTAAAGTGGGTCCTAAGGGTACTTCTCGGCTATAAGAAGCACTTGAATTGGAAATAGGATGACATTTAAATGTGTCTTATACTAACTCAGTTTTAAAATGATGACAATGTATTAAGATAGTTAAGCAAAACAGGAAACTGGTTTAAAACTGATCTGCAGTAAATAGAAGTAGACCCTAACAGAGTGACTGGTTTTGTGCAGGAAGGATGGTGTGTGAGAGTGATAACTGACATTTCACTGTCATTATATTGACAGAGAAGTTGTAATTTGTTGATTCTCAATCTTTAAACCATATAACTGTGAGATACTTTAATGGACTTGCTCTTTTATCTCAAGAGGCGCAAAGGCTGAATAACTCCCATCCAAGATTAAAGGCCTCTTCACACCAACACGGGCTCTCTACAAAGTTAAGCTTTTCTACTGTAACTGCACCATTGGCCTGCAAACAAAATGTTTAAGGAAAGACAAAATTTTTATTTTAATCATTTAATGTTTTTTAAAGCTCATAAGCAATTATATTGTAGTTTGTGCTGTATTCTAGCCCTATAAAAACACAATCCTTATATTGTGCTATGGCAAAGGAAAGAGGGGTTAGAAGGACATCAGCAGGTGCATGAATACATTTTCTATGAAAAGGATGACTCACAAGCAGGCCGAAACCAGGGTAACAGCAACAGATCACTGGACAACGAAGGGACAGAAAACAAAGCTTAAATACAACAGAGATGAAAGGAAACTACATGGACAGAAGTGAATATACAGTAAGTAACACAAACACAGGACAGATATGATATGTTCAGGTTACATCCCACATCCAGTCTGTAGCTGTTGCTATCTGTGAGCTTAGATATTAATCTCACAAGGGTGTGAACCTCAATGACCATACCAAGACAACCTCCTTCAAACTCTATTGTTACAGTTCCAAAGGAACTCTAGAGTGGTTCAGTTGTGGTGTTAATGTAATCTAAACTTGATTCAACATAGCTACCAGGAGTTTGCGTTACCTAGCTGCCGGTACTTAGCCAAAGTAAACTTAAACAAGGGTCAAGCACATTTTCTGTAAAACATAAAAGCCTATCTGAACTTTAAAATATCTTCTGTTAAACTATTTCGGATACATCTCAGATGTATTGACTAGAAAATAATAAAAAAAAAAATGTAAATAAGAGAACTGTATACCATTTTTTCAACTGATGAGAACAAAACATCAACTTTAAGTAGTTATAATTGGTACTCCTGAAAAGGACTACAACTGACCAAGAAATAAATTGCTTTTGCAAAGTTTTGTAATGACTTGTTTTGACTTGCTTTTACTTCTCTTTGTATAAAGAAATTAAAAACAGTAAAAGTTTGCTATGGATGTGTTCCAGGAAAGTAGCCTGTAAGTTCTGGAAATTAACCCCTAAGTTCCTGCAAGAAAAATCTGTAAAATTGCATCAACATCTGGCACAGTACAATGAATATTTATTTAAATGTTCATATTTTAACTTATCTCACGTTAGATAGGTTCACATCAAATCATACTACAACAACAGTTTATATGTAGCTGGGACCTCACGCCTTAGCTCTAGCCATCAGTATGTTGATGGATTCACTATAAACTACAACCAAATAAATAAGAGCAAGCTGTGCAGTGTTAGAACCATCGATATTCTCTATGAGGAAACTCTATTAAACTATCTTGATAGTTCTGGGTATTTAAACTGGCCTACAGAATCCAGAAAGTAATTTGTTATATCATGACTTAGGCAAGTTACAAAAAGTGACCCTCAGATTCCTTGCATTGAAACCTCAAAATTCCAGAAAGGTAAAGGAAGGATCATATATTGCTTTTGTGTGTGTGTGTGTGTGTGTGTGTGTGTGTGTGTGTGTGTGTGTGTGTGTGTGTGTGTGTGTGTGTGTGTGTGTGTGTGTGTGTGTCCTTTTTAGCTAATATAGCTCTTGGAATTAATGTCCCACAGCTAGCTGATAGACCAACAGCTTTGCTTTCACAAGCAGTCCAGTATGACTATTGCCGTAAGTTTCTGCTTCATATTTGTATATTAAACTTTACAGAATATTATTTGGGGAGTAAAATCCTATACAAAGGACACCGAAAGGGAGGTGAGAAAAAAAGGGGGGAAAGAACTAAGGGGAGAGAGGGAGGGAGATGGAGAAAGGAACAAGTGCATGCAAACAGAAAATCAGCAAAAATACATAACACAGAAGATATACAGTAACTATCTAATCCTAGAAGTCTGTTTCCATACCCGTATGAGATAAGAGGAACAAAAAACATAGGACAGCAAAAAGAAGACAACACACAACCAAAGTAAACTTTAGGGGAAAAAAAGCTTCAAGAGCAGCGGGTATCCTTTTCATCTGTGTCAGAGTCAGAGCCTGCAGTGATTACACAGTGTTAATCAAGGTGGTACTGTATATATCTGTAGCTGCACCTTAGTATTTAGTATTAGTGTGAATCCTGGAACACCTGGTAAAAATGCATGAGAATACTAATGTAGAAATGATTCAAAAGTCTTCTTCAGGAGGAAAGTATGCTTAAAAGCAGGTGTGGGCGGCCCCAGACCAAACCTGCAGGGGCCAGGACAGAAAAGTAGTCGATGCAAACCCCTTTATCCATATATGTGTTTTCCCATAGTTAAAACTTGAAACAAAATTATCTATTTGTGTGCACTTTCACAGAATGATAAGTAGATATAACACAATATAAAGACATCCTAGTTAAAGGATCTGTTTCTGGTTTTATTACTGCAAGGAAAATGTAACCTAAACCAAACAAACGTTTTATTTTTGTTTTTGTTTGTTTTAGACAAACAAAAATGAAAAGAAAAACTTCCCGACTAAAAATGTACATTGTGTAAAAGAAAACCCTCGAAAAGGGGAAAAAAACAAGCATTTCAAATCAGTCAATGAATTGGTCTTGTTTTTCATTTTCCCTACAGGCAATTGTAAAACTAGTTTTTCAGTAATGACTATGCTATTTCAGAAAGGGGGAAAAAAGTAAGTCAAAGAATTCTGAATAAGTAATGCAGGCAAGCCATTAGAGTGTTTGCGAGGGACTCCAGAAGAGAATCGCGTTCTAATTTTAGTGTGATGGAAATAAGAACAGCACCTGCTCCCTGCTGTCCTGTACTCAGTGGAACCGCTTCAGTTCTCCTGTAATCAATCTCAGCCTCAAATCCTCTCAGGGCTGCTCTGACTGCTCGCTGAGCCTCATGTATCCGTGTGAGAATGTCTGTTAAATTTTAACTTGGGTCATAATCTCCCTACTCTCTTTTAAGGAGCAGAATGTAACTTTAGGATAATATTTTTCTTTTCCAGCAAGGTGAAGCTTTAAAACTGTGTTAATTTATTTAATTAAATTCTTTAAAAAAAATATTCAAAACATATTCCTGTATATATTTTTTTTTAAGTTAAAATGAATCTCTGCTGTCAAAGTGACTCCTGTCATCACAGAGACAAAAAGCTCCAGCTGCAACATGAGACGGGCCCTATTTAAGGCTCTGGGTTGGGACATCTGGGACGTTTTGAATCCAGGAGCTCAAAAGAGGAAAGTATAAGATTAGCTTTCTGTTAAATGTGGGCCATGACCTAAATCCATCTACTTTTAAACCAATTAATTTGATGAAATGAATAGTTATATATGGAACTAAAGTCTTACCTTTTTTGTACAGTTGTGTTAGTTGTGCTTTGTTTTATTTGCTGTAAAGGAAACAACAGTCTAATGTTAGAGAAGATCTACAAGGATTTCATTGATTAAATTTGAGACTAAAAAGTCAATATACATGACTTATGTACAGATTAAGGTAATATCATAGTCATGCCTACATTTACCTCTCAAAGCACAAGTGTGTGCGAGGCATGCAACATGTTAGGCGCCTTTTTGCAAGCCCACCCTTCTGAGGATGGCATCATACTGTTTGCTTTTCATCAAGCATTTGAAATTACAAATCATGCTCAAGCTAGTATCAAACTCTCCATCATGTTTGCAGGTCAGCACCTGGTCTATGTATGTCAGGTTCTTTCAGCAGAAGCACCAGCAGACTCTTAGTTTGATTGGATTACCTTCAGCTGACGGAGACAAAAAACTGTTCTTTGCTTGTTAATCCCGGCTCAAAGTGCCACAGGGCCGCCTCAGCCTGAAGTCAACTGGAACCTTGGGGAGCAGGCAGTGGTGCCTGCAGACACTCCAAAAATAAAGCTGTTGCCTTCAGTGTGTGTTGCTGGGGGTTTCCAGACCACCTGAGACGGTGAAGGTGCAGCCCCTACAGGCAAGCCAAGGCCACCTCCACCTGGAGGAAGGTGGTTAGAAGTATAGTAGCACCGAAGTTTCAGCAGAATAAAGGGACTTCTAATTCTTCTCAACAAGCTGACCCTGAACTAAGAAAGGATGTTGAATTTTATTCTAAACATCTCAAAAAGAGAGAGTTATCTAGAAAATATTTTGACCAGGGATTCGGGGGGAAAAACGTATAGAAACAGTTACCCTGTAAACATACTGTATGCAGGTTGTTGCTCTCAATCTTTTAAAAGTAAGAACTTTAATATTTTATTATTTCCCTAAACTTCTGTTAAAAAAGTATTTTACTATGAAATTAAGACAGCTATTGACATGATAAAACCAAAGCATCTCTTCAATTTTCAAATGTGGCTGAGTTAAATGGGGGTGTGAATGCAGCAAAAAGCCCAAGGTTGACTATTAAACCCTGCACAGCTGCTTTAATGGAGCATTGATGGGACACACTCTGCCTTTTCACAATGTACTGCCGCTTTCTTAATTACTTTAATAGACACACAAAATACTTTCTTTTGCCAACCTTATTGTAAGTTATGGAATAATGTCACCTTAAATTTTTTCCTGAAGAAAAAAATTGAAATATCAAATGATTAAGTACTTCTTTACTATTTCCATGGGCAGAAAAATAAATCCTAACTATTACAGGAAGAATGTAAATATGTGTTTTTCTTAAAGCCTTTTTTTCCTCCTAAATGTACCAATACAGCCACTAGATGGCTCTATGATTTCACTTCATCTTAAAGGGTTGGCTGGGTTTTCTATAGATCTATAAATGTCACAAAGATTACGTTGTTCCACTAAAAGTATACTATATGAGGATATTAGATTAGAAGATGTAAAATCAAATGTTAATCACAGTAAGCAAAAAAAAAAAAAACTGACAAATTTCTATGAGTTTTTTTTTAAACAAGGGAAATTATCTCATACCGGTAAATAGAAAATATTTTTTTTAAACATTCTGAAAAAAACAGTTAATGTTTCAGTAACAAAGGTTGGAAGGTGTTGTTTAGTTAACATAACTTTTCCTTTAATCTAAATCTGGATTAGACTAAACTGTACAGAACTGAGTTCAGATGCACATTTAGATTAAATGAACTCACTATATACATA